ATCAGGCTGGTGCATAGATCAGTGCCACACACTAGATTTTGGGCGTATTTTGGTCTGTTAGAAGAAAGTACCTCCCAAAATTTTAAGGAAGAAAAAAACTTATGTATGTACAAAAGTAAGGGTAAATACAATGAAGAGATAGACTATGACTGGAAAGATGAAAATTATAGATTTTATAAAAGGAATTGTTAAGATAAGAAGTTGGTTGAAAAAAGAAAGAAGAGGATTTAAAAAAAAAAAAAGGAAAGAATGTGATCAGGCGGGAGACTAGAACAAAGCCATACACTAGAGATTTAGGGTATATTTTGTTCTGTTGGAAGAAACTGTATCCCAAAATTTTAAAGAGAGAACAACATGTATATAAGCCAAAAATAAGGTTAACTACTATGAGGGGATAGAATATGACTCTAAAAATGAAAAATTAAAGATTTTTCAAAAAAGGGATTGGTGAGATTTTGGTTGAAAAAGGGAAAAAGAAAAATTTTAAAAAAAGGAAAAAGAAAGTTAAAAAAAAGTTAACTTTGAAAGACTAAAGAATCATGGGGAAAAAGCCATGAATTCTATGTGCAGTATTCCCCTAGCTCTGGAGTTCTGCCGTTCTCATTGATTGGTAAACTTGGTCTTGGCTGGCTGTTCTTGCTGATCTTCTGGGGAGGGGCCTGTTGCCGAGGTTCCCAAATGTCTTTGCCGGAGGCGGAAGTGCCCTGCCCTTGCCGGGTTCCAGCTAAGTAATCTGCTTGGGTTTGCTCCAAGGAGCTTTTGTTCCCTTCAAGCTTTCCATAGAGCTTTGGAGGATGACAGTTAAACGGCGGCCTCCCAATCTCTACCCTGGAGGAACTAAGAACTCAGGGCCCCACTCCTCATTGAGCCCCAGAGAAAAGCAGTCAGTCACTCCCATCTCCCCGGTCTCCGGCCGCACTCTGTGCTCACCCCGCCTGAGACCAAGCGTTTCTATCTTTGGCTCACGACCCCCGGTGGAGTCTCTCGACCCCGTGTGGAGTCTCTAAACCCAGCAGAGTCCTGTGTTGTGCTCCTGCGCCACTCCTCCTGCAGGAGAAAGGGGAGTCTCCCCAGATCTGCCGCTTGTTGGGACCCTGCTGGAGGAGCAGTGGCCCGACTGCCGCAGATCACAGTTTATGGCAATCCTGAGCTGAGAGCCCACCTCTCAGCTCCGTCTCTGCAGCTGGCTTCCCTGCTCTGATAGGAGCAGGAAGCTGATCGGATCTGATCTGATCGGAGCTCTGCCGCACTCAGGCACCCCCGGTCTTTCTGTGACCCCGAGGGTCTTGAGACCACACTGTCCCAGCAAGGGTTCCACCCCCTGCTTAGCCACTGGAGCGACGTCCCTCAGCGGAGCCGACTTCTAAAAGTTCCGATTTTGTGCTCCGCGGCGCTATCACTTGCCAGTAGCAGCTGACGGAGGCCCCCTCCCCGCTGTCTATCTTCCCAAATATCGCCTCTGATTCACTTCTCCGCAGGTCCTACCTTCCAGAAAGTGGTCTCTTTTCTGATTAGAGAGTTGCTGCTATTCTTTTCTTTGATCTCCTTTTGAGTTCATAGGTGTTCAGCATGGGTTGATCCGTATCTAGCTGAATTCCTGGAACCAGAGGTAATTTAGGTCTCCTACTCCTCTGCCATCTTGGTCCTCCCCCCAACTTTTGTTGATTTTGATGGCACTTTTCCATGCCCCCTGGATCTGAATATCTCTGTTTTTCCCCCAGGTTAGGGAAGTTTTCAGGTATTATTTCTTGAAATAAATTTTCTGCCCCCTTTCTCTCTTCTTCTTCTGGGAGTCCTATACCATGGATGAAACTATGTTTGATGGAGTCACTAAGTTCCATAAGTCTATTTTCCTTTTGCATAATTCTTTTTTTTTCCCTTTTGTTCAGTTTGGTTACTTTCTTCCATTAGTCTGTCTTTTAGGTCACTAGTTCATTCCTCTGCTTCTTCCTTTCTTCTGTTCATTCCATCAAGCATGTTTCTCATTTAGTTTATTGTGCCCTTTGGCTCTGCTGTTTGTTCCTTACCTCTTTGTTAAGGTTCTTACTCATGTCTTGCACTATTTTCTCAATTCCAGTGAATCCTCATAATCATTGCTTTAAATTCTCTATCAGGCACGTTTCTTTTATTTGTTTTGCTTTGAATGGGCTGTGGCCTTGTCCTATTCTTTCAATTTGGATAAGTTTCTCTGTCTCCTCATTTTGTCTACCTCTTGGTGTCTGTGTGTGTTAACAATGTCAGCTGTCTTCTCTTCTTGAAAGTAGTGACTTTATGAAGAGGCCCTGTGCACTGTCCCCTGTGTACTGGAAACTGACACTTCAGTAGAGTATCCTATGTGTGTTGCTTACATCCTGCTTTTGTGTCTGAGTCACTTTTCCTTTCAGTTCAGTCACCCGCACTGACTCTCTGCCTATTGTGGGCTGTGCTTGTTCTCTGTGGTGTTAGTGGAACCTAGGCGACGCAGCTCTTAGGGGTTACACCTGCTGGAGAACTTGGGTGTGGGGCAGCAGCTTTAGCAAAATTTTCTTTATGCAGTAGTCTTATGCTGGATCCCTTGAAGTGCAGGGGCAGCTGGGGGCTGGGCTTCAGTGTGAGAGGGTGTGGGTTGCTGGGCACTGTGTGTGGTGGTAGGTGGGCATAGCTGAGTCAGGTGTGCAATGGTGGCTGAGAACCCAGCAGCTGGGCATGGCCCGTATGCAACTTAATGAAATTTTCCCTGAGCCCAGGACTGAGGCTAGCAGCATTGGAGTGTGGGAGTCCTCAGGAGAACTTGTGGGCATGGCACATTGCTAATAAGTTAGTTAGCTAGTGTCTGTGCAGCCCACGGTCCTGCAGATGGCCCTGTGTTTATGATGGAAAGTGGCATCTGCCAGCTCCCTCATTTTCAGGGAAGTCTCCAACATGCTCAGTAAAAACAGATGTGTCTCCTGTTTGCCCCCAGCATTGTGTAGACTGCCATTTTTTTATATTACCTCCATGCACAGGCTGCTGTCTCTTAAGGGTAGTGACACAGCTATTACAGCTATTACTAGCCCTCTGGGCTTGCCCAGTGCTGAGTCAGCTGGCATTTAAAGCTCCAGGTTCTAAATCCCAGTGGTTATACAAACTCATGGAATTCAGCTCCTCTGGTTTTTAAAACCAAAAGATATGGGGATTTGTCTTCCCTCTGTGTGCTCCGTGGTGCAAGGACCTATTTCCCCTCTCTGCATGTGCAGCTCCCTCCCTGTGGGCAGCCTTCTTCTACCTTTCTGACCTTCCTAAACTTTCAGATGCAGCTTCTTTTTTTTTTTTTAAGACATTATTTATTCATTTGAGAAAGAGAGCACAAGCAGAGGGAGGGTCAGAGGGGGAGAGAGAGGGACAAGCAGTCTTCCCACTGAGCAGGGAGCCCAACACGGGGCTTGATCCTGGGATCATAACCTGAGCTAAAGGCAGATGCTTAACCTACTGAGCCACCTATGTGCCCTAGATGCAGCTTCTTCTCTATATGTAGTTGTGGAATTTGTTTTGCCAGTCTTTGGATCTCTCTCTGATTTATTGACTTGGATGTGGATGATATTTATTTGTAAACATGGGATGGGGTGAGCCCAGTGTCTTTCTACTCCACCATCATCCCAAGCTCCCCCATGTTAACTATTTATTAAATGGTGAAAAGACAGACTATAGGTGTTATTAATCCGTCATGCTAATCTGTTGAAATAATCTTTTTTTTCAGCTATCAACCTGTAGTTGACTATGTAGATGCTCAATTTGAGGCCTATTTTCAAGAAGAATTGAAAATTAAACGTTCCTTCATTGACTACCATGATTCCCGTATACATGTGTGCCTTTACTTCATTTCACCTACAGGACATTCTCTGAAGTCCCTTGATCTATTAACTATGAAGAACATTGACAGTAAGGTGTGTTCGATAAATCCATTAATCTATCAAGATTTGAGAATTATTTTGTGATAATATATAATTTGACGGTATTTGCATATAAGAACTTGTTAATTTTAATATGTTAAAATATAATTTTTCTTTTTCAAGAAGGTTTTATTTATTTATTTGACAGAGAGAGGGAGATAGTGCAAGCAGGGGGAGCAGCAGGCAGAGAGAGAGGGAGATACAGGCTTCCCTCTGAACGGGGAGCCCAACTCAGGGCTTGATCCCAGGACCCTGGGATGATGACCTGAGCTGAAGGCAGACACTTAGCCAAGTGAGCCATCCAGGCACCCCCAAACATAATTTTTTCTGTTAATCTTTAAAGCACTGCTCTTAGTTTCCAAGGGATGGCATGGCAACATACCACAAACTTAGTAGTTCAAACAACAGAAATTAATTTTCTCACAGTTATGGGAAGTAGAAGTCCAAGATGAAGATGCCACCAAGGTTTTTTTTTTTTTTTTTGAAATCTCTTTTTTTGAGTGATAGATGGCTGCCTCTCACCATGTCCTCACATGGTCTTTCCTCTGCACATATCTGATGTTTCTATATGTCTGTGTTTCCTCTTCTTATAAGCACACCAGTCTCATTGGATTAGAGCCTATTCTAATGACTTTATTTTCACTTAATCACCTCTTTAAAGAGTCTTGTTCTGAGATACTGGGGGTTAGGGTCTCAACATATGCACTGGGGAGAGATGATACATTCAGCACATAATGGCATTTGATAAATTTCAACCTTAGTTTGCTTTCCAGAAAAATTTAATTAGGTATGTATTAGGAAAATAAGATAAAGGTTAAAAAATATTAAAATAAAAATTTATGGTTTTTTGTGATTAAAGTCATAGAGGTTGTGGTAATTTGTCTGTATTTTTAAAATTGAATTCATTCTACAGTAGTATAAAACAATCCCATTAACATTACCTGTTACCACTGATTGTGTGGTACCACTAAATTAATTTAGTCTACAGTACTGATGAAAGTCTCTTCTGACTTTTAGTACTCAGTTTAAGAAATTAAATTGATAATGAATTAATTTGACTATCATGAAGTTTTCATGATCCTGGCTAATGGTCCTATCACAGAGTATTCAGAATGTAATATGTATGTATATATTTTTTCCAATGGAGGGTAAATATACATATGAAAGAAACTTTTATGTCATGTGTTCTTTTCTACACTTTATTAAGTTGAAGAGAGAAAAAGTTCTAAAATTTGGTTTGTTTTTATCAAAGAAGGCCTGACCTTTGCTATGTATTGTTCAAACTGGAAAAAATTTTGTACCTAATCTTATATGTCACCAAGTTGTTGAAAGAAGTTAGATTTCTAGTTAAAATCAAGACCTGCCTCAGTTTCTTGAGTATTACTATATTCAGTCGCCAGGGACACACAGTTTTATTTTTAATTTTATGGGTAGCTCTTATCATTAAACAATTTCCAGATATAGAAAATTACTATTTTTTTTTACAGGAACATTACATAAAGGGATGAGCAGTGGTGTGTGTGTGTCTGTTGTCTTCTCTTCTAGGTTGCCTAGTTCCCTTCTGCAATAAGTGACTTTCATTCCTCAAATTTGAACACCTAAAGAATTATTAACATGGAAAATTGCCATTTGTTATGTGTTAAGGTTTTACTATCATTAGAAGATAGTTTTCTCAGCAATACAATCCAAGATATTTATGTTAGACTTGAACCTACCTTAGTAGTTGTGTGCTTTTTACTGTGGAAGGTATTATTTAAGATTCTAAAATTCGATAAAAATTTGAACCTCACTGTTATATTGAGGCCCTAGATTTGTACAAGGATTTTTTAAATATACTTTGAAGAATCTAAAACAAAAACGATATACCTAGAACTGACTTTTATGCACTCTTACTACATCACAGAACTTGACATTGTATAGCTATGATTTAATAAGATACTTTAACAGCAATAAAACATTTTATAATTTTGCACATTTTTAATTTCTACAAAGTTTAATTGTTAAAATGTAAATGCATGGAGACAGGAGTGATCATATTGTAGAACTAGGAAGAAAAGCTTATGAATAAAATTTCAACCTCAAATATGCAATTTAGAAATAGTACCTTTTTACAAATTACAAATGAAGATATTTGTGAGCAAGGTATTATGCACATATACACATACACTCAGTCTTCAGAGTATGGTAACAAAAAAGGGTCTATTATTTTAGATGGCCTTTGGAAAACACAAGCAAATATATCTACAAAGATGGATTTATGGAGAAGGTGATGAAAATGAATGATATGTAGAAGGATAAAATTAATTTAGTGGACAGTATTGATGAAAGTCTCTTCTGACTTTTAGTACTCAGTTTAAGAAATTAAATTGATGATGAATTAATTTGACTATCTTATTCTACTACTTACATTTTACTAACTCCGAATGTGTTGAAAGTGTAAGAAAGTTTGAAAAAAGAAATTTGAAACTTCTAAACCTGAATTCTGATAAAAGATTAATCTTCAAAAGTAATGATGATTTTGGAAAGCCATTTTGTGAAGAAGGTATGGTAGTAGCCAGTGATTATCTAGGTGTAAAAATTTATTGTCAGAGCTTGTGAGGTTTTGACATAAAAATTCCAGGATTAACAACAAATCCTCAATGGTGAGATTTTGTTTGCTTCTTTATTTACAGGTGAACATTGTGCCGTTGATTGCCAAAGCAGATACAATTTCTAAAAATGATTTACAGAAATTCAAGTGTAAAATAATGAGTGAATTGGTTAGTAATGGCATCCAGATATATCAGTTTCCAATAGATGATAAAACTACTGCTCAGATGAACTCCTCAATGAATGTAAGCTTTTAACTATTGAATATCAATTGTATTTTGTGTGGGAATAAAAATATAATTTGTAAGTAACAATATTAGTAATAAATTGTCACTTGTATCTGACAAAGAGACTTTAAAATCTATTGTGGGAAATCTCTTTTCTCTCCTCCCCTCCACTCCCCTCCCCTTCACCCCTTCCCTCCCTCCTTCCCACCCACCTTTCTTTCTTTCTCTCTTCTCCTCTCCTCTCCTCTCCTCTTCTCCCCTCTCCTCCCCTCCCTTCCCCTCTCCTCCCCTCCCCTCCCCTCCTTCCCCTCTCCTCCCCTCCCCTCCCCTCCC